GACTGTGGTATCGAGCCGAGATATTAACTGGCTGTTTGAGAGTTACAGCACACCTAGGTAATACTGAGTGGAGCTCTGCATCAAAGAGGAAGCGGGTACAAGGATGCCTGTCATACCATTATTCTACTTATGCCAGAAATTGCAGCGCTTCATGCAGCAGCGGCACCTCTCCACCAGCTCGTGGCGCCTAAGACGAATACTATCACCATAGCGTCGCTCACAACTGTTTTGTAGATGACGCTGTACCTGCCCACAGTCCTCACATAGCCCGAATACGGTGCTGGTAGGATACCAGCGACCGTGCTGAGAATGCCGCTTCCCTGTAATTGGCCCTTTTCGATGAAATAGCGCGAGGACTGCAAGACCACCTCGAAAGTCGCGAAGAGATAGAAGAAGTGCGCAAAGTTCTGCGCTGGGGTCGATTGGCTGACCCAGTCATCGTCCAGCACATTATCGCGTGACATCTTGGATCCAGTAAATGGTGTTTGCAGGACAATGTAGACGGCGAGGCCAAACGAGAAGACAGAGTGTACTAAGCGCCAGATCCACGCCGAGGATTGCTCTGGCAGCGGCTCAGAGGCACCGGCACCGCCCTGCATGGCCGAGAACATACTGGCGAGATCGGGTGGCATGCCGCCTGGTGGTGCGCCAGCTTGACCTGGGGCACCGGGCATGCCAGGCATACCGCCAGCGCCTGCGCCCATCATCTGCTGGAGCATGGCCATCATGGGATCCTGCGATGCATCCGTGCCTGGGCCTGGGCCGAATGGGCCGGACTGGCCACCCTCGAAAGCGAATGGCGAGGGGAGACGAGGCTGCGATGCCGGCGCGTAGTGGTGTTGCGAAATATCCACTTCATCTGGATCTGGAGTAGCCGTGCCAGACCCAGCGGGTGTAAACTGGGACGGGGTAGAGGCGGGTTTGACTAGAATGCTATTAGCCGTGCATTCACGCTGTTGTAGGACGAAGCTAGGGGGGACTATGTGAGGCTAATGTATTCGAAAGGGAGGAGCCGTTACCTGGCACGTCTTTCTCGAGTTCGCTGAGCGGCTTTGGTGGGCCGCCCTGGAGAGCAGTAATCTGCTGGAGACGTGAGGCGCCGGATTTGGCAGCCAGCCGCTCTCTGCGCAGTCTGGCCTTGGTCTGGGCGGGCGACTCGCCGGGCAGCGCGCTAGTCGCGGAAGCGGGAGAATCAGCCATGGCAGCGGTGGGGTGATGTAGAGAGTTGAGCTGTCGCGGTAGTTATCAATCGTGATCGCAGCCCTCACTATTGTTTGGAGGGGCTGAGGTCATGGCTTGGCGCGAAACTAGCGGAAGGCGCGACGGAACGTCGGAATCTCCCCGCTAGCGCTGGCACTATCTGCACCTCTTCACCTGAACGGCGACATGCCGAGCGTCTCCTTGCCACTCCTGACGTGTGCTAACCTCTCACTCGATCGCAACACTATTGCGAGGTTTGCCATCCCGACAGTCTGGGTCAATATCGCCCGTCACACGCGCGGTACGGGCCGTGCGATGTCCATTTGCCGGTCATCTTTGACCGATTAGGCTGGCCAGCACTCCTGCCTCTGGTGGAGTCGCTTGAGCTTACGACTCTTTTACGAACATGGCAGCCCAAAGGATTCCGCGGATGCAAGTTCTATGTCCACTCAACATACGAGGAAAGCTAATGCAGTATTCGCCTGCTGTACCACTAACATGCATGCCGCTTGCAGCTTCCGGGCCTCTGGCTTGGCCCGAGGATCGAGCCCATGGGAGGAGATATGGGAGCGATCCTTGTAGACCTGCGGTTTTCTTGCATGTCGATCCCCAATTCCAGCCAGTACAGGATGGACTACTGTGCTTTGTAAGCCCCTTTTCGATACGCATCCTCGCCTCCTGCCAGCTATTACTCAAAGTTATCAGATTGATCCTGGGACCCATGATGGCCGCCGCATGGGAAATCTGTATCAAGCGATATTGTGATACGAATGCCCTGCCAGCGCCATTTCACCATTTTTCTGGAGCTGGCGCCGTGCTATGTTTTCTCCACTGGGCGTTTCCGTCACTATAACCCCTATACACACCATGCGGACCATGGCCAATTACTGCTCCTTACCCACATGTCACCGAATTCGTTAAATCGCTGTAGCGCTGCACCCGAATAGGTCATGAAGGATGGCCCTCAGCAAACTCCATGCTCAAACACATCCTAGGGATCTCCTGCATCCGATAACGAATTGAACTTGGCGGTAGTCGAGCGTGCCTGCCCAATTCTTCGAGATTGCAAAAGACCCACTTTAGCGGTTGCTCTTGCTGCTGTCGTAGCACAGCATCTATATCGCTCCTACCTAGACGACGAGGCGAGCGACAGCTCCTTCCACCGGGTTGTGTAACGGGTGTGACGCACTCGATAAACACGTCCCTACTCTTGAAAAATTATTTCTAGCTTTGGTCTCGTCCCAGCCCTTCTTCCCACATCCCTCTTTCTTGTGACATTCACCTACCGACATGTATCCAAGCATGTTTGTTTCAAGCACCATGACTGGGAGGCAACCTTTCCAGTCGGGCTTCACTCAGGCAGCACGTCTACTATCGCACCGCAGAACTCAATCGACCTTGGCCGGTCAGAAGCCCTACTGGGATCATATCCAACCATGGAAGGACGTCTCTAATGAGGAATTCATATCTTATAGATGGCAGGTACGTCGATACGAATCTCTTTGAGTCCCCACAAGACACGATTAGATACAAAACTGACTTCCTTAGCTTCGCAACACCGTCTCCGATAAGCACAAGTTGTATCAGTTCCTCAAGACAGCTTTGCCCGACAAACTACTGCGCTCGCAGCATGATCAACTCCGGAAGATTCGTACGAAGAACGATTTCATCGAGGATGCTGTGCGTAACTCATCAGCTCGCACCACACTATACACATGTTGATGCTGACAATGATACAGATCGCTGCTATCAAGCTGGCACCCATGGCCATCCGCCTAACACCACACGTACTCTCGCTTGTTGATTGGCAAAACGCCGTGGATGATCCTATCCGGCGACAATTTCTCCCACTTAGAAGCGGCATCATCCCCGATCACAAGAACATGGAGCTGGACTCCTTGCACGAAGAAGCAGACAGTCCCGTCCCTGGGTTAGTCCACCGATACCCTGGAAGAGCTTTGTTCCTGGCCACATCAATCTGTCCCGTCTACTGTCGCTTCTGTACGCGGTCCTACGCAGTCGGAGGAAACACCGATACCGTATCGAAGAAACCACAAAAGCCCAGCCGCAAGCGATGGGAAGTCATCTTCGACCATATCGCCAATGATGAGTCGCTCGAAGACATTGTTGTATCCGGCGGTGACGCCTACTTTTTGCAGCCCGATCATATCAAAGAGATTGGCGAGAGACTACTCAACATTGCGCACATCAAACGGGTCCGGTTCGCTTCGAAGGGGCTGGCTGTAGCTCCTGGTCGCATACTTGACGATAGTGATCCATGGGTCGACAGCTTGATTGAAGTATCTAACAAAGGTCGAGAGTAAGTCATTCATCTACCACCTATATGTAATGAGGCTAATACAACTGCGCAACTTTCAGCATGGGCAAGCAAGTCTGCCTTCATACCCACATCAACCACGCCAACGAGATCACGTGGATAACAGAGCTTGCTGCGAACAAGCTTTTCAAGCATGGTGTTATCGTGCGCAACCAGTCTGTCCTCTTGAAAGGCGTCAACGACGATTTCGGACCGCTGTCAGACCTCATCAAGAAGCTCTCAAATATCAACATACAACCGTACTACGTCTATCAATGTGATATGGTGCAGGGCATCGAAGATCTCCGGACACCCCTCAGCAAAATCATCGACCTCGACAAGGAACTCCGAGGAACTCTTTCCGGCTTCATGATGCCGTCATTCGTCATCGACCTTCCCGGAGGTGGCGGCAAGCGCCTGGTTTCCACGTATGAGAAATACGAGGACGGCGTTGCGGAGTACAAGGCGCCTGGCCTCCCAGGTGCCAAAGGTACAAGAACATACACGTATTTTGACCCGAAACCTGTAGAGTCAGCCGTACTGGAAGAGTTCCGACAAGGCCAGGTCCAGGCTCTGGAGAGAGGCGAGACGCTCGAGCAGTTCTTTGCCAAGTCACCTCCTCGCCCACCGATCCCTACCGGGCCGATGCTGCCAACGCCAGAGCAATCTCCCCGGCCATATCCAGGTATGATGGTGGAGCGACCCCAGCCATGGACACATGAACAAGCGGGGACTGAATCGGCGTATGCGTAATCACGTGATACGCGTTACGCGCTCGCTAGCAACAGCGTCTTGTACGACACACACTTTTTCCAACATCAGAGGCGCGGCATTCGAACATAGACATACATTGACGACGAAACGGCCAACAAATCATCACGGCCGCTATCCATGAGTTTCTCCGGGCTCTTTAAGCCTGATCCAAATTTGATCCAGCCTCTCTTAACACTTTATAATATTCGCTCACTTCCCTGTATCATTTATCATCTTACATGTTCCTCCCCGTCCGTTCTTTGTATCAAGAATGGTACTGCAGATACTGCGCAAAAGTTTGACCAATTCACAACTTGCATCTACATAGATAGATCCATATTGAATTCCACCCTTTGTTTCTCATACCACCGACTATGAATGCTCTGTCATCGTTAGCGCCATGGAGTCACAATATATGTCTCCATTTGCCCCATCATGAACATCGTCATCATTACCAGAGATCGTCTCCGTTGTTGCAGCTTGTCGATCGTTTGATACTGCAGGCTTCGCTCCAGAGCGGGAAATCGCTTCTCAAGGTTATCTTGTTCAAGCTGCAGTAGTCGTGTATGTAACGGTATTAGCACAGTGAGCTCGTTCAGCGCTGGGCTCACATATATGGACTATGAACATTCATCACAGTGTCCACACCAAAGAAGAGCCTTAAAGGAGTTGTTCAACGAATTTACATTTTGAAGTTGAGTAAGAACTGTACCAAAGCTGTCCTGTCTCTCTAGCACCCTAGGAATACCTCATCAATGCGGAAAACCTGGGGATTTTCGGCAGTGAATAAACAAAGGAAGACCCCCGATGTTTTCGTCGCCACAAACGTCTGTGCGTTACCGTTGGGTCCTGTAAGCCAAGAGTTGACACGCCCGTCATTCGTCATAGTCTTCGTCTTCGTATTCTCCGAGTCCAACCAGCATAATATGTAGCTAGATGGCGAGTCTGTGACGAGGTATTTGTAGGAGAAGGTATATGTGACACCTACAATCAGACCGGTGACTGGCTGGCTCAGGATCATGCCGGTGCCTAAGCGGGGTTCTACTTTGTTAACTCGGACCTCAAAAGAGTGACCGTCGCTGGAACCGCCGCTGGAGCCACCAATAGATGTTCCCCAAGTTGGCGGCGCATTCCGGTTACCCCACACATCCGTTGACCAAGACGTCAGACCACGTTCGAAGCCACCGTTTTTGATGAGGTTGGCGCCGGCAGTGCATGTCGGCGCTGCTGCAACCACCGATGTGACGATGGTAGTACGGACAGGGAGAGTGGTGGTTGTTGATGCAGTGCCAGTGCTGACCGTCGCGACAGTAGTAGTAGAAGTCGTAGCGGTTGCTGTGATGGGGGTAGCTTGCAGACTGCAGGCTGCGGAGACAGCACTGGGAGCAAACTCAGCGAGACCAGCAGGTGTGTCGGGACCAGCAACATCGCGCTTCCTTGGAGCCTGAGTGACTGTCGTTGTAGTTGTAGTGACGGGCGTAATCGTGTTGACAACAGTAGTAGCAGGAACAGTGGTAAACTCCGTGGCGATCACAGTCGAAACCTGCGTCGTGTATCCAAGGAACGTAGAGCAGAATGGCTGTAGCGACGAAGCAATGATAGCGGACTTGGCGGCGGCGACATCGCAAGGAAGCTTAGGCTTTCCAGGGTCGGCGGTGTTGGAGTAGGAGTAGCTGGAAGCAATGGTGTAGTGGTCGTCTCCATGGTACTGGCCATCGTTGACAGCCACGCTCTTCGCCCATTTCTGGGTGTACATAGAGCAGTATTGGCCTTGGGGCTCGCCGTTCTTCATCAGGACGTAGGTGTTGAAGAACTTGCACAGCATGCGGCTGTTGAGGTGCTCGACGTTCCACTTGGTTTCGGCTTCGCATGCTGCGGCGCAGCGGGCGGGTTCGAAGGGCTGGCCATCGTTGAAGAGTTTGTAGCCCATGTACTGGATAAGAGTCAGCGGCTGTATGTGAACGAGGTGGTTATGAAGTGCTTACAGTATCGTCACCGTTGCAGTCGTTGGGAGCGTTGATGGCAACGTTTCCAAGAGACTCGCCGCTGTAGCCGTCTACAGATACCACATGCTCGCTGTCATAGCCTGGGATTTGTTAGGAAATTTGCGGTTCAACCATGTTAAGCATTCATGGACATACCGTTTGATCCAGCAATGACTACGTGAAAGTCTGCGCGCCACTGTCCGCTGTTGACAGCTGTTTCGGCGGTAACAGGGCTTCCCCACAGTACACACTTGATGACTGTAGTGCTAGCAGGGTTGGAGCATGAATCGGCAGGAACTACAGAAGGGTCCCTTTCGTAGACTGTAGACAATATGAGTAAAAGCTATTACTCAGGGGAGTAGATAGGTAACACTTACAGATGTTGAACGCGGAGCATCCTTCCTTCTCAGTGCAAGAGTCGGCACAGGCTTGGGTGTCGTAGGTATCCAAGGTCTTGTACCCAAGATATGCCACGGCGTTGTTGCTGCCCTTCAAGTTCTTGAACTTGCTGACATAGCCAGCCGGTGTAGAGGCATCAGTAGCAGCCTTTGAGATCTCCTCCATAGCTAGGAAAGCTTCCGGAGAGTCGGGGCTTGGGACTGGTCCTTTTCCAAGAGGCTGTTCTGAGCAGTCCCAACCTCTTCGCTTCAGTGACTTGTCGGCAGAGGCAGGATCCGCGAGGACTGAGGCAAAGGTGTCGGCAACCACAGCATCTGGAGAGTAGGGCACGACCTTGGTACCAGCACCCTCACCAAGCGGAGTCTCAGTGATTGGCGCGGCGGGTATCTCAGCGACTTCACCGAGAGGGATTGATTGAGGCAGGGCTGCTGCGCAGCCTGTCATGGCCAAAGCCGCGAAAGCGTGAACCGAACGCATGTCGAAAGAAGGGGAGGAGTAGAAGGCTGAGGAAAGGATGTCGGCGATTGCTGCTGATGAGTACCTCTGTACCTGGGTACAAACAATCTTTATAGCTATTCATGTTGGAGGTTCACAGCACACTCCAGCGGAGCTGCCAATGCGATAGATCTGTGGCGTTGGTCTCGAAGTATCATGGTGAGCTGAGTTCGACGAGCCTCGTCCCCAGATTCTCTCAGCCCGTTCGAATGTGCAGATTGGACAAGGGACTAGACTCGCGTGATGGTAGGAGTGTGTACATAGGCGAGGATGCCAAGCGCAAACCAACGATAGCTGGACATGGCCTCGAAGTGCAGAGCTGAAAAGAGGTCCCCAATCCGGTAAGACGAGTACTTGGGCTTGCGATGACTAGAATGAATGCGGAGTCCAGCAGTCTCGTGGGAGACGAGATGTCACTCGATCAATCCGAGATCTCGGGAGGATTGTCTGGGGACTCGGGCGTGAGCGATGTTAGCGGCGGCATTTCACCACGTGCGCTGCGAGAGTCTTGCCGAAGCCTTCCTCACTTGGGCACTACCTCTTCGTTGTTCAACCCGATGCAGCACAAGGGAGGTGAAACTAAGTTCTTTCCCCTGGTGAAAGTGTACACTTCGAGGTAAGCGAGGATCGCTACCTTTATTGGTGGCTTGCTGGCGCCTCAAGGCGGCTCGTGCCTGAACTAAAAGAAAAGGTCCGAGCCTACAACCTCGCTGGGCCCAGGCTTCCCCACGACAAATGCACACTAACTGACAAAGCGACATCTAGGCCATCGATGGAAACACCGGAAAAGAATGTGCGTTGTTAAGTCTAACTGCTGTTTGCCATGGTGGCCTCATCTCACGCCGGTCACCGCCGCATGCGCCCAAGGACGATCACGGGAAAAGCACTCGGTACCATGACCTTGGGACGGCAGTAGCAAGCCACAAGACGACGATAGACGCAAGGCTGGTGAAGTCTGGAGATGCGCAACACGGTACTAATGGGTGCCGAACATAACTCACGTCAACATCACATCCTCGCAACGGCATTCTCTGTTTGATTAGGTCGTATGGCATGCTTTTTTTTCACGTCAATGCCAAAAGGTAACAAGCTATACAATGGCTGCATAAATGCGATGGAATTTCCACCACGTCGCTTGTATACAAGGCTTAAAAAGGGCCTTCAAACACCAAGGGCGCCAGCGCAGAACAAGCGGGAACTCCGCATACAAGCGAGGACTGTGGCTACCTAAGTATCTCAGTCTATCCTCTTACTTGTGATGGGCACGAAAAAGTTCTAGCGCCACCAGCGTGCTCACTGGAAGAAGGCTAGCATGAGCTTGATGCAAATTTGTGCCTGGAGATGGCTATGGATTCGAAAGACAACACAAGCATTCGTTGTCGTGTATCTGTTGCTCTTCATGGCGTTCAAACACTAAATGCATGCAACGACTTCAAAGCATACACATGAGTGCTTGAGGTCTCTGTATCAGTGGATAGCATGTCTCGTAGTGCAAACTCCTAGAAATTGCACTACGAAACATGCTATCCACTGATACAGAGACCTCACCTCCAACAATCCCACATCTCACAACCCCCTAGCCAACTTCGCCGCCGTCTTCAACCCAGTCCCCGGTCTCACATCACCAACCCACATACTCTCCGCATCACCATCAATCCCCTTCCGCGCCTTCTCAAACGACTCTTCCATCTTCGTCCTCAACCCGCCCTCCTCATCGATCCCGCTATCCTTACCCCACAACTCCAACGCCCTCTCCATGTCGCCGCAAGCAAAGATATACTCGCCCAAAGCCATATGCACAGTACCAAGCACATACCACGTCTGCGCCCTCTCGCGGTCCGTGAAGAAAGAGGGTTTGTTGGGTGGAATGAGCTCCACGGGGATGGAATGGAACCAAGGATTTGAGGTAGGGGAGGGAGCGTCGCATGCCAGACTAAGGGCTTGAGAAACTGATTTCTCGGCTTGGAGTAGGTCTTTCGCTGCTTTTCTGATCTCGTCTGTTGGGTTTGAAGTTCGCAACCAGTGCTTCGTTGATGTGAGGCCCCGAAGCGGAATGGAAAGACTGATACCGAGTCCCAACTCTGTCTTCCAGCGTAGCCGCTGCATGGACTTGTTGAAGTCCTCCTCTTGGGAATGAAGTGTTTCGGCATGCGTCAGGTAGCCGTACGTCAGCGCGATGATAGTAGCTTGAGCATACTCATTCGCAAGCGTATACTCTTCCTTCTCTCTCGCTTCATCCGCCAGATCAGCCAGTTCATGTACACTGGCCATATAACTTTCTGCCGTAAACTTCTCGCCCATCATATTGTTCTGCAGACCCTCCGCGTACCGCGGAAGCAGATTCTGGCCATCAACTTCCACCTTGCCAAAGCCGCTCATCAGACGGAACAGCTCGAGCAGGTCTCCTTGTAGTTTTGACACGGGGAATCCATACGTGTTTACTACATTGAGGAAGAGACTACGTCCTTGAGCCCATGTCTTCGTTGCGCGGCTTGCTTGGTCAAGGAAGTTGATAAGCCGGGGGAGGTATTGAGCTGGGAACATGGCGGAAGCGCGTTTCTGCGCGCTGTTCTTCTCCACGAGGACGATTTCGAGGGCGTGGCGCGTGCTCTTCTCTACGACCTCGCTCTTCGCCGTTGAGAAGAGGAGCCCAGAATCCTCGAGCAACGTCTTCGCGTGCCGGGCGTCGCTTGTATAAACATCGAATCTGACCCAGAGATTCTTCTCATAGAAATACGACAGCGAATCTTTGCTTATCTCCTTGTTGACAAGGAACAGCGCTGTGTTCACGGGGAACGGGTTGCGTGACGCGGAGAAGGTCAAGATGCCTTCGTCTTTGGAGATGGTGTGCGTGTAGGACACGTTGGGTGCGCCGTGGTTTACGAGTTCGGTGTCGAGACAGTGCTTGTAAATGTTGTTGCGGACTGATGCGGGGAGGTCGGTTAGACCGAGAGGCCGCTTTCGGGGTGTCTCGGCGAGGGAAGCCGCTTTCATTTTGGTGGCGAGCGTGTTGGCGGTTGCTTCCATTGAGTCGCGCTTTTCGGCTGGGATTGGAGCGGTGGTTGCCATGGTTGGATTTGGGGGGTTGGAAGGGCTTGGTTTGATGTTAGTGTTATTGAACAGACTTAGCGACATTAAGTTGTGGAATCTTCGGATAGCATTGCTTTTGCTTTTGCTGCTTACCTGGCTATAGTAGCTGAACGAGTGCTGCGATTCAAGTTGGCGATGATGTTGGCAAACTTCAGGCCGCTGAACGCGATTCGCAAGCTCAACAACGTCAAATGTCAACTCAATTGATCAAGAAGCAGCCAAAGAGGAACGAATATGATCCTACGAGCAAGCATGAGCTCCATTGCGGGGTTTTATAGCTATCCCCAGCTACAGAGGGGTACCTGCCATCAAGTGCGGGGGAACAAGGATACATGTGGAGATCACCAGTACACGCGCGTGCGGATCCGAGTATGTTCCGCTCTCGACTTATAAGCTTTCTGGCTATACAACTACACAGCCAAAGTACATGCGTAGTGCTGATGGCACGCGCACGTGAAAGGTGCGGGGAAGCTCTAGTCCGCCCAATCGGCCGCTAGCCACCTCCGCGGGGTTGAGCCTCATTGTCAGGTACGTACATGTGTCGATCTACTCTACAAATGCGGTAAACGCCTTGAGCGGCTTCGTGGCCTTGAACTCTAGCTCTACGCCTGGAGCGACAAAGAAGATGTAGCCGGCCCTTAGCTTGTATTCCTTGCCGTTGCCCTTCATGGTGCCCTCGCCTTCGGTCACGATCATAACACTTGGTCCACCGAGCGACCGGATCGTCTCGGAATCGCCATCGCCCATGGTTGTGGCTAGCATGCTGAATTCGCTTAGAGGTGGTGCGTACAGCTGCGTCTTGCCGTTCTTGCTTCCATCGAAAGACTTTGCTGGTAGGATCGCCTCCTTGGCGTCATGTGGTGTGAAAGTCAAACTTGAGCAGAACATGTCGATGTTGTCGCGGTCGGCGCGTGGGCAGAAACCAGTGTTCAAGACGTTGTTCGATCGGGCCATGCACTCGATAATATCACCGGAGAGATACGCGTGGATGCCGTCGGCGGGGATGTAGATGCTGTCGCCAGCCTTGAGCTGGAGGTAGTTCATGGTGATGAGAGCAACAAGGGTTCCGTTGTCTGCCTTGTCATACTGCTCAGCCAAACGAGGAATCATGTCTGGGATGTAGCTGTGTTCGCCGAATTGCTCCTTTGGAATCTTCATGAGTGCGTCGTTGGTTTTGCGTACAGCATCCTCAGACGCCAACAGCATTTCCTTGACAACGTGCTTCAGAGTTTGGTCGTCGAACTCAGGCTTCTTGACCTCTGGAAGGAAGGCTTGGAGTGGCGGTAGCTGCATCAAACGCTCGATGTCTTTCAGTTGCTTGAAGCCGCAGAAAGCCTCGAAGTCGCCGAGAGCCAACGCGATCTCTGGCTTGTGGTTGGGGTCGGTGAACTGATCCGGGTTCTTTGCGTGTAGCTTGGAAGCCAAGTCTTTGTTCTGACACTGTGTTAGTTGTGGAACAGATCGATGTAGAAACGAACATACTGGGTGCAATTGCAGAGGTAGGGCCTTCGCTATCGACAGGACCTTGGGCAGATATGGCAGCTTGGTGTGGTTGAACTTCTCAGCAGTGGTCTTTCCCACAAGCTCATCAGGGTGTCTGTCGAGCACTTTCTGAAGGTCCTCGCCAGTCTCTAGGACATATGAAGGTAATTCGGGATATGTGCCCATCCACCTGAACATGTTAGACTGCAATCAACGATGTAGTGTATAAACTTACATCTCAGCGTAACTTGTGTTCTCGTCAATCTTGAATTCTGTGCCTGGAGTCTTCTCGCACAAAGTCGCCGCCAGCGACTTTGAGCCCTGCTTTCCCCACGGGTACTGGTTGCACTCGCACCTCAGTTGCATAACCTTTTCGA